TGGGAGTGAAATGAGCGTCCGCTAGTTTTTAATATAGCCATATACAAATGGTCACAAACACTTACACACTCAAACACACACACACACACACACACATACGCATCAATATTTCATGCCTCGTCGCAACATCAAAGGACGCTCACAGAGCCGCACGACATAATCGACAGAAAGAGAGGAAAAAAATCGCAGAAATGATTGCCAACAAAATAAAAATAAAAGAAGCAAAACGGACATTTGCTTTAGTCAGCCGAACATTGAATACCCTTTAACTTTATTTTTAAGCTGAATGCTGCTATGTAAACTATGTGGATTTTTTTTTTGTTAAAACGTTTAATGCTCTTTATTTAAAAGCAGGAATAAAGGCAAAAAATGTTCATACATATGTAGAACTACTTTTTAGAGACTGATTGATAGACTAATTGATTGGCTGATTGATCCACAAGGCACAGCTCTAACCGTAAGAGCGAGAAAGCCGAATATTGTTTGGTCATAAACTCTTGTGATATGAACCAAAGGCGGGCCCCAAATGGATTGGGGCTTACAGTGCAAAATCTCATTGAAGATTGATTGGATATGTGGTTCCATGGCAGCATGGATTTATTTTCACTTGTCACAGGCGGGAAATGATTGAACAAGAGCGAGAAAGATTCATGGTGACATATGATATCAGATATATGTTCATCTGTGCCAATATATGCCCATTTTTGAGGCCAAATCAAGAATATATATAGAAATAACCCGAGAATGCTGTGCGTCATAGCTGGCATGCCCAACGCAAGGATGTAAAAAAAAGGAAGCGAACAAGAAATTGTGCGACAGTTGCTGCCGATGTTGGCGCCTGATATTCATTTGAAATATATCTATGTGTTTGTGTGCGTGTGTGTCGCATATACACTCGTTTCTGTATGTGAGTTTATGAGAGCGGGAGTTGAAAGAAAGTTGGCATTGATAAAGTCATTTTATGTTCATGCTCAGTAGCAGGTCGATGAGTAGTGTGCGGCAGGAACAGATGCAGCACAAGAAGCAACAGCAAGAGCCGAGACTGGACCAGGAACAGGACCTGGACCTGGGAGCAGGCTGCGCCAGAAGCAGACACGCTAAATTATTGTCGAGCATTTTGCAGCAACGTTTCCCATTTTTCATATTTCATTTCGCTTTTGCTTTTCATTTTTTATTGCCAAGAAACGTGTCGTCAATGTGCAGTTATGAATTATTGATTGGCCCGAGCCTCACATTTGGGCGACTTAACAGCTTGTCAGCAAAGGGGGCGTGGCAGTCGCTATTTTACAACCAAAGGAAAAGACACACAATTAGCTCTGGCATATGACATGAGTCCGGCTGGTAAATGAATATCCGGGCTTATCTGTATGCGGTACAAAAGCCCGACGCAGCTGCAAATTTCAACTTTCAACTTCAACTGCGACTTCTGACCACGCCCAGTGCAAACGCCCACTCATTCGCAAGTGGCCAGTCAGCTTCATAAGCTGAATGTGTATATTTCATGTTGGTTGGGCTGAATAAATTACACTGCGCTTTCATATTTCATGAGAAGCAGAGCAAGAGAAAAGCGGAAGAAAGTAATTGGGAAATGCAGAGTGTAATTGTGGGGGTGAGATGGGAAGGGGAGGTGAGGGTGGCAGGGAGGTAAAGAAAGCAGCCAAAGATAAAGAACTAATAGAATTGCGCTCTTGCAATCAGTTTCAGTTATGTTAAGCTATCAAAAACTGATAAATATACCCTATAAAAAGAATAAATTGCGCCAAAAAAAGGCATATTGCGGTTGTGGATATGTATGTAACAGGCAGAAGAAAGCAACTGCCTGAGCCTTGTAATAATAACAATATTATTATTATATAATTATATTTTACTAAAAATATTAAAATATGTTGACGTGGAAATGTATCTAGGCTCAATTTTATCTAAGGGAGCGATTAGGTTTTTGAATATGATTTGTCGTACACCAAGGGCAGCTCAAATTTAGGAATATTTTCCAAAAATCGATAATTATCGATTTCTAAATAGCATATCTCTGAACTTGAAGAGACCAGAATTATCAAATTAAGTCTGCAGGTTTTGCCATAACAAATTGTTTACCTATTGCATACCTTACCTTACATTTGAGGAATCCAAGAGTTAAAGACTTGGTTTTTGGGATACACCCACAATTAATATCCTCTTTAAGCATTTACAAATTTCTCGGTAATCATATGACAGACACGCGAGTTATTCAGGAATACATTCACACAATATGAGGCTGAGATGGAAGAAGAAGCGCTGCTTGGCAGCTGCCTATCAGCAGGATATCTGCTAGTCAAATATATATTTTTTGATGGAATTCCCATGCAATTTTTTTGTATGCTTGGCGTGCTATTCAACTATTCATGACGGCAACAGCTGTAAAAGTTAGTTCAGAAGGGGTTTTGGGTGCCACGTGGCGTATGAGCAGTGCCTGTTATCTGTGGAGTGTGTGTGTGCCACAAAGTGTGTAACAAGCCCACAAGTTGCAAGTTGTTGTTGTTGTTGTTTCCGTTGCTGTTGTGGCAATGTTCAAGCGAACATTTGCTTGACTTCCAGCTTCATAATAGACCGAGAGCGCAGGCAAACAAAACGCCAAAGTGTCAGAATGTAACATAATGTGTGATTGTGTGTGTGTTGGTGTGTGTGTGTGTGTGTGTGAATGTATGTGTGTCTGGCAGAAACTTTCACTGCGAGCCTCGAGACAGGGACAGGGACGGGGACACTGACCTCATCTGACAATAATTCGACGCATTTGTGTCACATGGCCCGCATGGCCCGCAGCCGTCGCCCCGCCCCCTTCCAAGTGTCCAACAAGCCCACCAGCAAAAAGGCGCAAACGTCAACAATTACGAGGCGCAATGCCGCCCACCCAAGCACCACCCACCCGCTCGTTAGGCCCAGGCAATTGCCGTGCCAGGACATTGTCTGCTTGCGTGTGTGTGTGTGTTTGTGTGTGTTTGTGTCCGTTTTCGTATCTCTGTCAGCCTTTTTTGGCCGTCTTCCGTTCGCAGTTAAGTGCGACATATTTGCCTGGCTAATTTCGCTCAGTGAGCAGCAGGCCACAGGACATGCGGTTCAAAGTCCTGACCGGCAGCAGCATTCGGACTTGATAAAGCTGTAAGCTGACAAGGTTTTTTATACTTTCTAGTTTTTCATGGACTTGCAATACCTATATATTGAAAGCATATGGAGTATATATACTCTTGATTATGCTGGATGCTAAAGCTAAAAGGAATTTGGCAGGATTGTTTGTCGGAGTAGGACGGATCCTAATACTATATATCAGATAGCTGTCATTGAAATATTCAGTCTAATATTCAGTTTTTGTATACACAACATATTTGTTTCTCGATCTTGGCAAAACTTGATACTTTAAGGTCACACCAAGTCCTTGCAACATTGTATAAATTTGCATTAATAAATGAGAGACAAAAATTCTCAAAAGAATAGACAGTCAATTGGCCAGGGTCTCAAATCGTGGATAGACAAATCCTGCAGAATTTCTTTTACCGCCTAAATTTATTTTCTAGCTTTTTTTATTTTCTGTTATTCTATTTTGTGGCATTTCTTAAATGGCCAGCTCTGCTGGCTGTGTTATCCCTTGCCCATTGTCATTTGCCGCCGCTCTCCGTTTCCGGTCATATTGCAGCTGCCTGGCTCCCCAGCCCGCCCACCCTTTTGTGGCAGCCTTCGACTATCGCAGTTGGCGCAACCTTCATTTGAGCCAGAAATCAGTTTATGGCTTTGCGGCTTTCGATTTTGATTTGGTTGTGGGGCACGTTCGGGAGCCCGTCAGTTAACTGAAATGTTGTCGATACGCAAAGTGTTTGTCCATAAAAAAATGGGCTTGGAAATTGCGGGCTCTTGTTTATGCGGCTTAAAGACTTAAAGGCCTATGTATGGGCATGGGAATTGTTGCAGCTTGTAAATCAGCTAATGCGAAGTGTTTGTTGCTGTTGGCCGACAAACCCAAATCAAATCGCACATTAATCAAATGCCAAAGATTAATTAACTGTGCGTGTCAGCTGTGCTTCGAGCTGGATTGAAGTGCGGCCTCAAGTGTACGCTTTGTGTATGCATAAATGTCACTCATACGCAACGTGGTGCCTACCTAGTTGGGCTGTCTGTACATTTCGGGTATCGATACTTGGCCCGGTTGCAGGCAGCGCGCGAGAGAGTGCGCGCGGCATTTAATGAAGCGTAAATGGTAATTGACGTCTCAAAGGCTCAAAGCTGAGGCCCGGCTGTGACCCAAATGTGCGACAGTTCGACAAGCGTTCGAGCAGGTTCATTAGAATGACTCTAGAATACCCTCCTCCCCCCCCCTCTCACACCAGCCAGCAATTGAAAGACGCATAATGGGACAGGTACTCATATCATTCCATGCCGGTAAACAAATACAAAAATGGTTGAAAATTGAAAAGCGACGTTCGCCTGACTGACAGACCACATTCCACGACAATAAAAATCAGCCGCAGCAGCAGCAGCAGCAACAGCGTGTGGCAAGTGTCAGCTATTCATTTTTGTCACCTGTGCACAGCATCGGCACGAACAGTCGACAGTGATTTCTTTATATTTTTAGCACACTGTGCTAAAAATTCGTCGCGAACTCTTATTCGCTCAGCTGCGCTCTCTCTCGGTCTGTCGCTGTCTCTCGGCTGGGCATTGCCCCTGCTTGAAAGCTTCAGCAAGCTTTATTCCTGAAGTTCGGGCCAGGGAAAAAGCCAACGCGTCGCACAATGCGCAAGGTCAGTGCAAGCTGGAAAAGGCAGGGCAGCTGGAAGGGGCGAGCAGAGATGCGGCTGCTGCTGCAGCAGCTGCAGCAGCAAAAAGCTCGTTTTGATCATTTGCCATTTGTCGCCTCCGCCTCCAACTCTGCTGCTGCGCTGCTGCTGCTCTGCTCCGCACTGCTCTGCTCCGATGATAACAAAGTTTTTGTGCTCTCACGCAAAGCTCTGCTGCTGCGGCTGCTGCCTATAAAAGGATGCGCGCTGGCAGCGCACTTTCAGTTGGATTCTGAGCGAGGCAGCGGCAACAGCAAAAAGGAAAAAAAAGGAGGAAAGGAAATACAAACCAAGCCTGGATGGAAAGGAATGTGTGTGTGTGTGTATGTGTGTGCTAAGGAAACTAGCTCAGAGTAGTGTGTGAAACACATATACATACACAACGAGTGACAATGCATTAGTGTGTGTGTGTGTGTGTGATAGCCGCGACTGCTGCTGTGAAGAAAAGTGTGTGGAAAAGTGCGTGCGATGCATTTGCTCAGGCTGCTGCTCTCAACGACAACCCGCTGCTGGCCATGCAACTGCAACTGGGACTAAGAATAAGACTAAGACTAAGCTGAAGACTAGCCAAACAGTTAAACGTGCCACATTAGGAGCGGGTCTTGCACCTGCTCGAAGATAGCGCACTGATTGACGCAGAGACGCCAGCCACAGCCGCCGCACTGGCGTCGTTTTGTGAGCGCGGCTTGATGCCCGACTCGATGATGGATATGGAGCATCGGGATCATCAGCTGCATCGACATCATCAGCCGCCGCAGCGTGTGATGGCGGCAACAAGCACAACCACGTTTGCAACGCCAGCGCCAGCGCCAACCGCTGCGGCAGAAGGAACAGCAACAATCATCGAGCAGCGGGAACGGGACCATCAACTGCCCATAACGGGAACGCCAAGCATGCAGCACCATCAGCTGCCGCAGCAGCAGCCCATTCTGCCGCCACCGCAGTCGACTCGACCGCAATTAAATACACGCGAGCATCACCAACAAGTGCAGCAGCAGCGAAACCAGCTGCAGCAGCAGCAGCAGCAACAACAACAGGAGCAGCAGCAGCAGCAAACACCGCAGCAGCAGCAGCAAGAACAGCAACAGCAGCAGCAGCAACAACATCAGCAACAACTCAATCAGCAGCAGCAGCAGCAACAACAACAGCAACAACAACTCAACCAGCAGCAGCAACAACAACTGCAGCAGCAGCAGCAGCTGGCTTTGCCGCACAGTCATCATGCCCTGATGCAGCAGTCGCATCAGCAGCAGGCCATACATCGAGCTGAGCAGCGACGAGGTGAGTCTGCAGGAACTGCCGGGAAATTGCCTGTACATACATACATACATACATGCATACATGCATACATGCATACATATATATATATATATACACACATATATATATATACCTAGTGCCAAATTGTGTATATAAATTATTGAAATGATGCTGCGTGGCTGTTTGCTGGCTTTTTTTGTTTTTTTTTTTTTTGATAAATGCATTTTTCTTGAACTTGTTGCGCGGCTGCCCCCAAAAAGTATGCTACACAACATTTTGAACTATGGTAATTTTCTTGGCAATTTTCATTAGCTGGCGCTTCACTCAAATCATTTTTGCTGGCAGCGCGCCGCATCGCATCGCTCAACAGGCTCATCAATTATTGATGCAATTTGGCTGCCAACTGATCAAAAATAATAAAAGAAAATGGAAAACCAGTAAAAAAAAAAAACTGGCTTTGTGGGTGTGGGAGTGTATCTTATGTGTGTGTGTGCTGAACAAAATTTTTGATATTTGCTTTAACTCTTTTGATGCCCAAGTCTGGCAACAATTTTTGTTTTATATCTCTTATTTGACAATCTAATAAACTTTACCTAAAATATGCTAATGTGTGTGTGTGTGTGCTTTTGTGTGTTTGCGTGGTGGTTGTGCCGAATGCCTCATCTCATATGCACGCTAATCGCTTCATTAGGCGAACAAAAAGGTTGCCAGCTTAAGCCTGGGCCCCAACATTTTTTGGCTGCCTCAAAAACATGCACGCATTTTGCATGCAAAATTCAATCAGAGTGCCTGAAATATACACACACAGACAACAACAACAACAGCAACAACAACTTTAGCAGCAGCAACAAAAATGACAGCAGCAGCAACAACAACAACAACAACGTGACCCATTTTCATGAGCAAAGCTTTTTGCCAGGGGCTGCTGCTATGACGTATGCGTGCTGGAGCCTGAGAGGGGGTGGTCTAAAAGGGGGATTGGTGGAAGTGAGGGGGGGGGGGGGTGGCTCTGACAGCCTCTGGCTAGCTCGACTGGGTCATTAAAAAATTATGACCACACGCTGTTTGCGCTGCCAGCGCAAATTAAGCAACGAAATTTTATTAAAGAATTCAAAGTTTTATCTCATTTGATGGCTGCGATTAAATTGATGGTAAATATAGAAAAACTTGGCGATGACGTCTTCAATTCGTGGGGCTAACACTAAAATAAAGAGCTTGAAAATGATGCCCAATTGTGTGTATATGCCAAGCGCAAGGCCTTATCCTTACATCGGAGTTGTATTTGCAATTTTGTATGAAACAATTGAAGTTACTCAAAAAGTGAAATATCAGAAATATGTGTATACTATAAAAGACCTTAATGCCAAAATTGAGGCAAGCAGCTCATGTGATTTTCGAGTTATGCCGCACGAAAAGATGTCCACATTAATCGACATTAGGGATATGTGAAAAAAAAACCTAGCCTCTCTTATGAGGTCCTAAATAATAATATATGCCATTCAAAAAACTTTCATTCATTCCTTTAATTATCAAAGAAAGGGAGAATTTATCGAAGCAAAAAAGATTAACTCCTTTTGCCAATGAAAAACACAAATATGTATGAAAGGTCTCAATTATAGTTTCCGTAGACGCTTCCTGCTGCTTTTACCCATTTTTTTGGGTTCAGGGAATAAATATAAATATCTGCTTCATCTTATTTATCTTGTCAATAAGTAAGCTAGTGCTAGCTTACCCTGGATGTAGACAAATCATTAAGAGGTTCATTAAACGTGCTCCTCAGAGCCAACAAAATTAAAAAAAGAGCTCTTCTTAGTGCCACAACGAGGCAGGGATAAAATGCGTTTCGAACTTTGCTTAAAGAGTTCTGGCAAATCCGACAGGAAAATGGCAACAACAAGAAAATGGGGGAAAAAATGTCTGAGCTGCAAAAAACCTTTTTGCACTTTTTGGTATAGAGTATTAAAAACTTTGAAATGACTCGAGCTGCAGCTGGGCTAAGCCGTTGCTCATGTAACCCATTCCAACTAATTACATTTTGATGCTGGTCTATTTTTAAGGTAGCTACTTGGCCATAAATCTATTACCATACATACACAAACAAATCGGGGAAACTTTCATTTGTCAGCGGCAACAGTAAGCCACGCCCCGCCGCCCACATCCACATCCGAAGCATTCAAATCGACGTCAACGCCATTGCAATTATTTCGAAATCAATTTCAATAAAAGTTGGTCCTGGGTCCTGGGCAAATGTTTAACAGCTTGTTGGCTTAACGTGCCACATAAAGGTACCACAAATACCCATCAAAGTTGCGAGCGAGAGTTTCAGCTATTTTCCAGCTTTTCCGCAAGTTCCGAGAGCAAAAGAGAGCGAGAGGGAAAGAAGGAGAGAAAAGGCTCGTTAACAACACTTTGCTGACGTTGAGCGTTGGCATTGTTGCAAGTTCTCAATGAACTGTAATTGAAACTGAAAATGGAAAAAAATGGCAAAAAGAAAAAACCACAAGACAAACTGCAGAACTGCAAGCTGCAACTGCAACACGCAGCAAACAGCATTTAAAATATGCATGGCATGCAACATTTATTATTTGAAAATTCACTTTAGCTTTAGTTCTAATTAGCTAATTAGTGGCTTTTGCATGCAGCAAACACGGCTCCCGAAAAAAGAAACTCATCAAATCGAAATCGAAATCGAAAACAAAATCAAAAACCAATATAAGACTAGAAAACAGAAAATAGTACGCAGCGTGCCCCCCGCCCATCCTCAAGTCCTATTAATTTTGACAATCGTTTGATTTATCGTATTCTTGCAGATACACAAGCAAAACATTCACATGGATTTCTCTATTGTAAGTCGCACTAATTTGGAACAAATAAAGCAAAAGCAGAAAAACAGATATTCAAACTAAAAAGAAACATTAATTCCCACATCCCGAACAACACACACAGTCTACACAGAACTAATGCTTAACTTTTTTATATAATCTACGATTATTTCTCTATCAGCTACTTTTTATCTGTTCCTCCAACTCTCGCGCGCTCTTAAGTATGCTACAGTTTCTTCACTATTTTTATTACGCATTTTTTTATTTCGTGGTGTTTTTTAAAGTGCCCCAGCGTAACACTATTTTTGACTCTCTCGGGATAAACTTGGCCGCCGAAAATGTGCGACTTGTTGCCGCCAGCAAAAACTTAACAACTTTTTTGGCTAGCGACATGTTTTTCTTTTTGTTCATTTGGAGTTTCTCTTAGACCGTCGCGCGCCCGTCGATACATAAGCAAATATAAAGCTAAAAATATAAATTTACTTAAATATACATATTTTTTGTGTGTGTGCTTGTGTGTGTTTGTGTTTTAACTGAAATTCAATTTGCAGCATTTGCTCTCTCTGTCTCTCGCAAGTCTTGTGTACAGTTGCTGCCACTTTGCGCTATAATTTTCAATTTTCTTGCCACACTCTTTTCCGCAGCGGACGAGGATATCAGCGACAAGGCCTCAACATGCGGCAAATTGCTCATTTTTCTATCCGTGGCACTTGTGATAATGACGCTGCCCTTCAGTCTATTTGTCTGCTTCAAGGTAAGCCCATCAATCAACACCGAAGTCAAGCTCGGGCTTGCATGTCATTCGAATATATAACATTTGCTTATAAAAAATCATTTGACTTGTTTGATACTTCAGTTAAACAACTAACTCATAGACTGACTGATTGAATAACCACTGACTGATTAACTGACTGATTGATAGATTGATGAACTGACTTACAAAGGTAGTTTTCTAGATTTACTCATAAAGTGACTCTTTGACTTTCTGATTGATTGTCTGACTCACGGATTGATTGACTTATTGGTTAATTGATTTACTGACTGACTGTCTGAATAACCAACTGAATGATTGACTGACGGACACTCTGACTGATCTTCTGACGGACAGACTGATGGACTGACTAACAAAACTGCTTGTTTGGATTGACTAGTTGACTCATGGACTTATTGACTTGCTGATTGACAGACTGACTGATTGGCTCACTGAGTGACAGACTGGCTGAATGTTTGACTGACGGACTATCTAATTGACATTCTTACAGACTGAATACATGACTGACTAACTGACTGACTGACGGACAGATTGAGTGACGGACTGTTTAATTGGCTGAATGACTGGCTGACTGAAGGACAGACTTAAGATTGGTCTACCAACTAAATGCCTGACTGACAGAACGACGCACAGATTGACTAACTATCTGCACTATTTAATTACACATGAAATGAAAGCTGAGATATACAGATAAATTATTCATTAAGAATTCAAAAGCATTCTGACGAATAAAATCCGTATACATTATACTTTATGCAGTGCTCATGATTGCAGCTCACATTTTACTCAAACTTTGCTTTCTCTCTCTCTCTCTTCCCCTCAACTGTATCTCTCGCCCCTGCTCTGCCTGCTTATACTCTCGTATTTTACAGGTGGTGCAGGAGTACGAGCGCGCGGTTATCTTTCGCCTCGGCCGCCTTATGCAGGGCGGCGCCAAGGGTCCAGGTAAGTTACAGAGGGGCAAGGTGTTCAGGCTTGGCTATGCAAATTCAAGTGGCGACTGGCGACAAGAATTTGTGTTAATTGCTGCACTTGCTCCAAATTAGCGCTAACTTTTTGGGGGCCACATCGCGTCGAATGGCAGCTGCTGCTGGCGTCACATTTGTCGCCCTCCACTCAGCAGATTAGTTTGCTCAAATCCTCTACTCTCTCTTTCCCTCTCTCTCTCCCTTTCTTTGTCTCCGTGCTTTATTCGCAGGCATTTTCTTCATACTGCCCTGCATTGACTCATATGCACGCGTGGATTTGCGTACTCGCACCTACGATGTGCCACCGCAAGAGGTAAGTCTGCAGCAGCGGCAACAACTTTTCGTTTGTGTGTTGTTGTTGTTGTTCTTAATTCACACACAAACACACACACGTACTCACAAATTCAGACACACACACAGACACACATGTCAAGCTAAGACTTGACCATTTAAATGCTGCTCAGTAAAAAGTGAAAAACTTAAAACAAGTATAACAAATTTTTTAGCTTTTGCCACACGAAATTTTGTTAAACAACAATTTTGTTTTTGTGTTGGCCCCAAATGCACAAATACACACAGCTACAATTACAGTTAGACACACACACACATACGCGCACATACGCGCACATACACACACGCAGGATACGCAACTGGAGCGTAAATTACGCATACGCAACGTTTTCTTTGCCTTTGATTCGTTTCCTTTTGCCTAACTCTCTCTGTTTGTGTGTGTGTGTATTTTCTTTTCCGTGTGTTGTTGTTCTTGTTATTGTTGTTTTTCTTGTTGTCGTCGCATGTCACGCTGTTTACTTTGGCTTACATTTCAGTTTGCTTTTCTTTTTGCGTTTTCCTGCGTAACTGTGTTTCCTTCTTCTGCAGCTTCACTCTATCTTGCTCTCTCTCGCTACCTCCTCCTCTCTTGCTGCCTAACTCTCTGTCTTTAACTTTTCACAAACAGCTAAGATACTTTTCCAAACACACATACGCACACACACTGCAACAACAACAAAAACTGGCAAGAAGCAGCAGCGGCTGCTGCGTTTTTTTCTTTCTTTTATTTTTTGCATTTGCTCACTTTTCCTTTTGCATTTTGTTACGTTTTGTGGGCGTGCCACAAACACACACACACTGACAGAGAAACTCTAATGTTGTTGTTTGTAGCATTGTTGTATTTGTTATATGTTTCAAATGTTGTTTATATGTATGACACTTATTGTCCTAAAAACTATTTAATTATTATCATAATTGTCTTTGGTGTGCACTAGACCATCACACACACACACATGCACACTCACTCGCACACGCACACATCAACAATACTCCAGAACAAAGGCGCGTTCCATTTATTTAAGTTCATTTTTCTAGTGCATTTGCCGAGTCCCTTTTATTTATTAGCTTTTATCATATCGAGCTCATATCCATAAGTACATTTGAGTGCACCATCTCAAGCTCAGAATAAAATAGAGAGACAGGCAAGCATATTAAATGATGGCGTCACGTTGAGCAAACACAATTGCTGCATTCTCTCGCTGCCTTTCCTATATAGCTACATTTTTATGATGCCCTCAACACATTGCCAATAGGCAAAAGGGGTATAATAGAGTAGAGCAACTGTATTTAACAGACTGTATCTATCTGTCTGTTTCTCTGTCTCGCAAACAACAAAAGTAATAGCTTTTCGATATCTCCTAGCTTTCTTCATAATATCGATAAATATCGATTTTGAGACATGGTTTTGCAGATAGAACTGAAGTGTTATGCAAACTAGGTGCAATAAACTTGATATGCAGGGTCTTGAATGATTTATACAGACTAAGAATATTTCACTTCTGACAAAAGAGAAAAAATATATTCTTATTAAAATATAGAGCATTGCTCTTTGATATACACATACATTTATATGCCATATGCATGGATAAAAAAATTCATAAAAATCGGACAATAAAGATCAAAGATACTAAAGAACAAATTCTTATAGTTTATTTAGTCTGAGGCTAAGGGAAAACGGAGCAAAGGTAACTGGTAGAAAGGTAACTGGTAGGCAGCTTGCAGGGTATCTCCTAGTCTGGCACACCCGACTAGAGTACTCGATGTTGCCCAACTTTGCACATTTGCAGCTACCGCCAACATTTGCAATTTCATTCTCATTTCGGTTCGTTTTTTATTTCGGATTCAGTTCAGTTGACTTTTGGGTTTCTCCGCCTTTTTTACTCTCTCTCTTATTTTTGTCTGAAAAACGCATGAAGGACACTGCGGCAATGCCCTCAGCAGTCGCTGAGCTGAACTTTTTACTCCCTTTATGGAAATTCTTTTTTTTTTTTAACCATAAGCGCCATCCTGTTGTTGTTCTTGTTGTTGTTGTTGTTGTGTGTGGAAAGTGCATACGAAATGATATCGTGTCGCATTCATCTATCATTTATATAAAGTCTTTAGTTAGTTGTTTGGTGTCTTTAACTTCAACTTATTACAATTTGCATAGTTAATATATCTGATTGTGTTTTGCAATTAGAAACGCAAATCAAAAACAAACAAAAAAAAAGCAAATGCTAAGCATATCAACTGAAAACGATTCTCTGTGTTCAGCCGAGCACTTAATGCACACTGTACAGACTTCTGTTAATTGGTGGGCGGGTGGCCAAGGGGCGTGGCAAATCGAAAATAAAAAAGAAGCAAACAACCTGAACCTTAACTGAACAGCACAAACCAAAGGAAAAAAATTGGCTGAAACTGAAAATGTATGTGAAATGTTTGTTCACTGAACACAGGGTATACACCAAATGTTCCACCCGCACACACATACACAGTCCTAGACAGAACACACACACGCACACACACATACCTATGGCCACATAGCTTGGGTCTTGTGCAGCTGAAAAGTATGCAACAGAAAGCTGGTCAAACACACACTGAAAGAAATTTCAGTGCAAAAATACCTTTAACCTCTTGAATGCACATACAAAGCTGTCCTCAACAACCCAAGCTGTCTATCTCCCACTCTCTCCCGTCTCTCTCTCTCTCTCTCTCTATCTATCTCTCTCTTTCTCTCTCTGTGTAATTTTAACTCTGTCATGCTCACTCGCCCGCTCGAACTTATGCTAAGCAGCTTTATAAACTGCTTAGCTTTATCTAACTCTCTCTCTCTCTTTCTCTCTCTCTCTATCTCTTTCTCTCTCTCTCTCTCTCTCTGTCTATCTAACCCACGCTCTGTATCTCTTACTCTATAATACCTCTATATATATATATATATATATATATATATATATATGTACCGATTTTCTTTTTGAGCTATGTTAGTTTTGTTTAGCGAAACAATTGTTTTTGATCAACCCTAACAAAAACCAAAAACCTCTCCGAAGACAAGCAAAAAAAAAATGTATTTACACAAAATCAAACCAAAATGCACTTAATTTTTGATACACCCCCCTCTCACCCGATCCTTCGATTAAGCGTTCGAATAATTTTTGAGAGCATGCTAAATATATATATATTTCCGTAAATGTCTATTCTAAAAAAGCTTTCTAACTGTCAAAACTAAAACTTAAATAAAACAAAAATCAAAAGTATAAAAAAAAGACAAGTTCTTAAAACTCGTACTCACACACACACACGCATACAAACACACACATACACACACATATATTGTTGGATTAAAATTAAGTACAAGTACGAATCGAAATTTAACATCCTACATTTTATGAGTACAGTTTTAGTTTAGTTTTCGACTCACACACACAGACACACACACACACACACACACATACTTGATCGTATATACATCGCTTTAGTTTCGACAAACATAAGAATTATATTCGTATATTGTACTTACCACTAACTAAATAACCGTTAACATTTGATCTGTTTGAGCACTGGCGAAGGACGCTATAACGTACGCACCCCAACAATAATGATCATGAATTAGCATATATATCTATATATATATATACATATACACAAATATATATATGTATATACCATCCGAATATATATATATAGCCATATATGCCGACCAATACAACTATATGTATATATATCAAGCAAGCAATCCATGTCGAGTTCATCTATGTGTGTTTTGCGTGGTTTAGGCTGTTTAAATGTGGGTACACCTAACTTAACTCGATCAACTATCAATAAATAAACCAAATCGAAGAGAAAACAAAAGAAAAAAAGTAAAATCAATTTCGCACGCATGAAAAACAAGAAAAAAAAAGAGAAGCTGCCGTCGCTGCCGCCGCCCGCCCGGGTCTAGCTAGAGCAAGTCCAAACCCCAGCATAAAACGTAGAGCCTGTACTCAACTAGCATCTATATATCTATATATATAAATCTTATAGCATATGCATATGAATATACAGCAATTAGTTGGCGTACTTCGCTGTTGCAGCAACGCCCCAAAGAATGCATCGAACCAGCGCCCTACCCAGTTCTTCCCACTCTCTAACTCTACACTATTGCTATCTCTATCTCTCTCTCACTCAATCAGTATATAAATATAGATGCCAAAGCTATAGTCAGTGCATCCAGTCAAGCTATATATATTTTTCAGTTGAAATATGATTTACATTTGAATTTGAATATCATGAAAAATAAACTAGAAAATCGAAATCGAATTGAAAATCGGAAATGCTGACGGCCAAACTGTGCAAATTGTAATAAATGATAAATAATTATACAGTTACATATATATATACATATATATATATATATATATATATCTACAATTTCTCGAAGCTCATTAGTTTAGCTGTTACAGTGTATAAACAAATATGTATGAAATTTGTTAAAAATCTATCCTTGTTTGCGATTTACCAGCGACTTTTTTAATACTATAAAATTATTAATTAAAAGAAAATTTATCATTTTTCTATTGTTCAATTATATTCCATTGTTCTCTTATTTAAGCTACATGCCATGCACACACACACACACACACAAACACACTCAAATACACCTTTGCAATTTCAACAGTTCACAGCCAATTTATTCCACCTACTATCCCACACACACACTCACTCTCGTACACACACACTGAACACGTTGAACACAGTCGACTATTGTTCGAATTTTAAGCCATTGTTCTTAAAAATTGATTTAGATTTAGAGACCTGAATAGACAACGCTTTTGGCCCACTTTAAGCCTCCCTTTTCAAAAAACTTAACTGAATGCACATCAAATTTAAAGAACTTAAGCGTCAGCCAAACAAATTAACCTTAACTAAACTGAGCAGACCTTGTTCAACAAATTTTTAGCAGCTTTTATAGGGGGCAAAAGAAAAAACACAGTTAACAGTGCTTGAGGCTGAGGTGCCCGTCTAGGACATACCACGAACCTAGCAGTGGCTGAAAAATATACAAAATACAACTAATATATTACAGTCTATAAGCAATGCGTTCCTGATTAACTTCCATGTTAACAGTCCGCTAAACATCTATCTTGAGAAATATATGGAGGTATTCAAATAGTGACACATTTGTGATATGTATATTTTATGCGAGCAAATGTGTACAAAGTTTGGCGCACTTTGCGCTGATAATTATTGAGGTATACCTTAAAAAAGCATTTCACAAAATCGATATTTATCGATATTCAGAGAATTTCGAGAAATGATTAGCACGTTTGCGTATATATAGAAATATATTTGAATATAAAATCTCAAGTCTTTATTTTTGTATATTCCGAAGGAACAGGCGGACATATTAAGATCTAGATCGTTCTGATCAAGAACATATATTCCTTATAGGCTATAAATTTAAGACTCAAGGCACACAAAGTAACTGCGAATGGCTAACTTTAAGATCCCTGCGCCTGCTTTATATTAAATTAAGTATACGCCCATTTGTGCATTGAAAAGTTCGCAAGTTTCGCTCATGTTCAGTTGATTTTTATGCTAATATTGAAATTTGTTTGGCCGCAAAAGAAGTTAAATAAAAACTCTTGCGCATCGGCCGCCAAACGACACTAAACAACATTGACACCCAGCCCGGAGTGTGCCATAAAAAAAGGCGGTCTAGACGCCCCCGAAAAAACTGAATTGGCCCGAAATGTAGCCGGCTCGTAAAATGCTTCAACTTGTGCGCTGGCCAAAACGCAAACGCCAAAAACTTTTGCCTTTTGTGCAAATAGTTTTGATGGGGGGCTTTCGGCTTTTAGTTTGAGTCTTAGTTGGGGTTCGCCTTTTGGGGCAGGGCATCCAAATAGAGGAATTTAATTTCGGGCAACGACAGCTTGGGCTGAGTAGGAAGGAAGAAGCCGCCGCAAGGAATAAAGGACCCAAATACATGTACAAAAGAAAACGTTTCGCTATCGCTCCATCCACCCGCTCCCTAGATCTCTTCAATCGTTCTCTCTCTTTCTCTTTCTCTCTCTCTCTCTCTCTCTCTCTCTCTCTCTCTCTCTCTCTCTCTCTCTGACGTTCTTCCTCTATCGTTCTCTCTCTATCGTTCTCTCTCTCAATCGTTGTCTCTTTCTGAATCATTCTCTCTCTCTCTCTCTCTGTCTCTCGTGCGTAATATCTATAAACATTTCAAAAAACAATTTAACGCATTATGGTTTATTTTTACGTTAATTTCGTTGTTTTGTCTGCCTCTTCACTTGCCACATTTTGTATATAACTAAGCATATAAGTATGTAATATATAGACGACATATATATATATACGAGTTGATTTTGTTCAATAACCATACCTATATCTTATACACTGTAACTTCAAAACTCTTGAGTTTGCTCCACGTATCGCTATCGAGCTCATATCACGAAAATAAAAACAAAATAAATGTCACAAAAAGAAATTGCTAGTGCAAATAAGTATCTTGTATCTTGTCCAGCACAAAGCGCTTGACTTAAGCCAAAATCTAAAGCTTCAAATGCAATAAGCAAAACAATACAAAATGGCTTTCTGTATGGCACACACACTTAACACACACTCACATACACACACAAGTCAAAGCAATAATCAAAATAAAAGCCACGATTTTCGCTTCGTCTGTCGAGCATATTGTACAGTCCCCCTTTCTCTCTTTCTCGCCCGTACTGGGTATGTGCTTGCGTCTCTGTCTGGCGTCAAAGTTTGCACTTTGCACTTAGTCGAAACTAAAGAAAAGACCACAATCACGTCCAAGAGCAGCCCCAGCTGAAGACGCTCCAGTCAAGTGCATACTGTGTGCATTATGCCATTCTAAGCAAAAGTGCACAGCAGCCACTAAATTATTCATCTAGATGCAAGATACAAGCCAAGCACAGATAAATATAAAGATACAACTACAAGGAACCAACACAAACACTTTGCTTCGGCGCACCGAAGACTACATACCCTTGCAGACACATTAATGTTGCGGTAGGATTATTCAGGTTAACAACATGTTTTTGGGAACGGAAAGGGATTTCTTCACTTTTTACTCTCCAATTTATCTGTATTCAATCCCTGACCGTAACAATCTGACGCTTCTTAGCAACGCTTCTGCTAGACAGATTGCTTAACATAAGACTTAGCAGAATGCTTAACATAAGACATAACATAATACTTTACATAAATGAGACTTCAAAATTTTGTCTTTCATCCAATGAGAGTGAGACGTTACTTACAACAATTGAATGTTCGATCGTAATATTCAAACGGAAAAGCATGTAAATTTTTAACTGTATCTAAGATACATAATGAAAAAGCACGCTAAGAAGAAGCTTCTGTAAATTCCACGTGCAAGAGTAAAAAATTTGCGGTAAATGGTTTTATTTAATTTTTGCTTACCTTCCGCTCCGACATTTATTGGCTTACCCAGACGTGTTTGAAACAATTTTTCGAGACGTGTTTTCCACAATTCTATAAATAGTGTGTCGAAAAAGTGGGGATCACTTTTGATATCATATTCTTTCCTTCAGACTTATTTTCAAAGTGAATACTAGTTTCAGTGAATTTATAAATTTCATCCGCAGCTGTAAAAAAGAAAAGAAAATGGGTTACATGATCGATCGATTTGGAAAATAAAATAAATAAATCATAATTAGACACTTTTCTTAAGATATTCTATTCCTTGGCTAGGATTTAAAAATGTTTTGTTAGATATTTAGAATAACAATAAAGGTTGAATCTTACCTGATGTTGATCGATGGTTCCTCTGTGAGTTATAGTACATGTGCTATACTTAAAGATGTTACATATATCCTGGAAAACTGTTAATACTCAATGCAAGGGTATACAAAACTAAGACTTAAACACATACACGCACACACACACACACACTTGTGTAGTCGCAGCTTTATGCTTATGTGTGACAGCAATAACAAGCATAATCTAAATAAAAGAATAACAAACAAAAAGCAAAGCAACAATAGAGCAACAAAAGAAAAACAATAAAAATAATAATATGCGAAAGAAAGCACGCAAATATAGAGACAAGCAAATGAAAAAGAAAACAAAGATAAAGATAAAGAGAACAAAAAAAAAAACAATCCCACCCACTGCATCTTGTAGGTTCTGACAAAGGATAGCGTTACGGTTTCGGTGGATGCAGTGGTTTACTATCGCGTATCAAATGCAACCGTCTCTATAGCGAACGTGGAGAATGCTCACCATTCGACCAGACTACTGGCACAGACTACTCTACGAAACACAATGGGAACTCGGCATTTGCATGAGATACTCAGCGAGCGTATGACGATTTCCGGCACCATGCAGGTGAGTGAAACAATTGCAGCAAACCTGCAGCCCCCGTCCAGACCAGACCAGACCAGCCCTTTGCCCCGTTTAGCACGTAATTGACTTATGTGCCCCCGACATGTGCCACCAGCCACTTGCCACTTGCCACAAAGGAGGCTGCAGCTGCTGCTGCTAATTATTCAGCGACTTTAAGACTTTTGTGCACACAACTGAAAGGCTAAATAATAATTGCTAATTGCAATTTTGCAGCAGCTGCCAAAATGAAAAGGGAATAAAATAAAGCCTGGCCAACAGCATCTTTCACAGTTGCAAACCAAAACGTGCTCTACACTCAGTAATAATAATATCCAGAAGATATTTTTTCTATTGAAGAAAACTTTGCAATAATTGAAAAATACCTTCAAAAGCATTTCGTAGAACATTTCTACAACATAAAGAGATTAATTCTTTTGCAATCATAGAACTTAAAATATTCAAAGAGGTTTAACTCCATTCAAAGACATACTATGACAATAAACTTAGGAAAAATAAGATTATATTAGAGCAGTTTTTAACACGATATTAAAAAGCAATGAAATGATTGTATATGCATGAATTTTCTCTCAGTGTATATACACTATGCTGAGCATCGCATATATCGGCGCAGACGGGCAAACAGCTGCCAACTTAACCCAAATCGTTGCTTCTAGCTTCGGCTTCAGCTTCAGCATTTTTGTGCTGCAATTTGTGCGCTTTATTTATTTATTTTTTATGGCCATATGAAAAATAGTTCAAAATCAGGCTGAAACTCATGTCAGCTGCGGCAGCTGCTGCTGCCACGTCGAGCATGGCCAGGAATGCCAAGTTGGCAACTCGTTTGCCGTTAGACGCAGCCGAATGCTGCAGTTTTCTCTGCTTTGGCGGTTTCAAGGATTCTGCAACGACCCACAAAACAATATGAGAACGAAAAAAAAGAAGAAAACCCCAAAAAAAAAATAAAGCAAGAAAATTGTGAAAATGTGAAAAGCAAAAACCATCACAGTTAACAGCATGAAAAATGTGTGTAAACAAAAACTAATGTGTTTCTACTGCTATTTTCAACACACATACACCTACATTAATTTTCGACACACTCACACACACCCACACACATGCTCTCACACACCTGCCATAACGTTATGTGGGCCAAATCATAAACAGGTTCAGCTCGACGAAGCCACCGATGCTTGGGGCATCAAAGTTGAACGTGTTGAAATGTAAGTAGTGCAACTTTTTCTATCACGCTCACACACACACACACACACACTTACACACGCACAGTCTTTACACACAAAGGTTTCTATGTCAAAATGTAGGTGGTGTGCCATTATGTTGGCAGCCTTTTATTACACCAACCAGGGGGGTTAGGGGCGGATACCGAGGCAGGGGGTTGCCTGGCCTTTGTCTGCCATCACAGTTGTTGCCTTGTTGTAATTTATTATTAGCCGCGCTGGGACAAGTGGATGAGCCAGCTGCTGCTTCAGTTCCAGCTCCAGCTAAAGCCTAAGCGACAGCTGCTGCTGGCCAGTGTTGCCAAGGGACGGTGCAAAAAAGTATTAGCCAAATGCAATGTTAGAAAATAGCTAGCTAATTGTGACATTAGGACAAGTACTATAGTTAAAGCTTCAGGCCAGTGTTGCCGAAGGACAGTTCAAAAAAGTAGTAGACGCATTAGTCGTTTTCGCAATGCAATGAAAAAATAGCTCAATTTTCAGCTATAGCTTCTGGCCAGTGTTGCCGAGTCGTTAAGAAAGGTAGTAGCTAAATTCAATATAAGGAAACAGCCGAAAGAGCTGTATTAACATAAATAATAGATTAAGTAGGCAGCCAAAAAGTAATTTAAGCTGTTTAAAGTTCAGCTGTTTCACGACACGCTCTAAAGCGAAATAAAACTAGAAAATAGCTAAAATGTCAACAACTGCTGCTGGCGCAGGTCTAAGCCGACTGACAGCTTGTCAAATACATGACCAACAAAATGGCGAACAAGAGCAGCAGCAACAACAACAACAGCAACAACCACAACAACAACATTGACAACCTCAACAACATTCTGTGGTCATGTCCCAGCGGCTGCACTGGCCAAAACAACTTGACGCATTTCATGTTGTTGTTATTTTCTTGTTGTTGTTGTTGTTGTTGTTCCTGTTGTGGCTTAGCTGCGGCCACGCCCTTTTGTCGCTTTTTGTCCATGAAAATTGTTAAATTTTTACGACAGTCTTCGGCTTCAGTTTGGTTGCTGTTGTTGTCCGGCGAACAATTTTTATGAAATTAATCAGGCGATAAATTTCTTTGTCAAGGCCAATAAAATATGAACATGACATTTTATGGCAAATGCTGTGAGCATTAGTGGGCAAAAGAAGAAGAAAAGGCAAGACAAGTTTATGTTGCGAAACCGAGCGTTGAATACCCTTAAATATGTAGTAGGTTAAAGCTATAGGCAGTAGTTCGATAGTTATGGTATTTTGCTTGCCATTTGAATTCTTGTAAATGCTAAGAATGTTTTATACATTTACAAAAAGTAGGAAAATACGAAGATCAAATACCGTTGTGGAGAAAATAATTTAATAACAGCTTGCAGATAATTTAGGTTATTGTGGGAGAAATGAAAAAAATGAGCAGCATATAGTTAAAATATTGAGAGAGTAGCTTTCGCATAAAAGTAGAAGGGCGATGTAATCTATACCGACTCGGTCTTGATACCTATTAAGAATATATTTTAACGCTTTGGGCTCTTTGTAAAATAAATAAGCTATCCTTTGCAAGATTCTACAAAAAGTAGCTCATATTCATTTCCTCTTCAGCAAACTTATAAAAGGGACTGCAAAACCTCTAGGCAATCTGATTAATTCAAGAAGCATTCATTTAAATAGAGCTCACATTAATCATGAATACGGCCTAGAGAAGAAAAAAGCGGCATCAGCCTAATGACCTTTTATGTTTCGCGCCTGACCAAGGCTGAGCCTTAAACGCGTCTCATTTGGCAATGAAACAGTTCAGTTTTCAATTAAAAGAACATTCACATAGACACCGAGTGGGGTTCCCCCGCCCCCCTGGAATAGCCTTTCATTGTAGTCGTTGCATGCCACTCGCATGTTTTCTGAATCAGTTTACAGCGACACGAGCCTGCCTGCCGCGGTTTGTAAGTGCAAATGGCTAATCTAAGTTCCTTCCTTTTCCTGGACGCATCTGAACAGCAAGGATGTGCGTCTGCCCGTGCAACTGCAGCGCGCGATGGCCGCCGAGGCGGAGGCGGCGCGTGAAGCGCGCGCGAAGGTGATTGCCGCCGAAGGTGAGCAGAAGGCCTCACGAGCGCTGCGCGAGGCATCCGAGGTGATTGGCGATTCGCCGGCAGCGCTGCAGCTGCGCTATCTGCAGGTAGGCGTGGCCATTGAACTCGCTTCCCTTAAACTATACTTATATATTGCATTGATTTATGGCCAGACACTCAACACCATATCCGCGGAGAAGAACTCGACAATTGTGTTCCCGCTGCCCATCGACTTGATAACATATTTCCTGAAAACATCGGAGGCGTCCTCGCAGCAGAATGCGGCTGCAGCCGTTGCAGCACAGCAGCAGGTGCAGCTACAGCAACAACAACAGCTGCTGCAACAGCAGCAGCAACTGCATCAGCAGCAGCAGCAATACTCGCCGTCGCCCCAGATGCTGCAGGAACCGGCGCTGCAGCTTCAAATGCAGCCACAGCCACAGCTACAGCAGCCGCAGCAGCAGCAACAATACCAGCAGACGCAGCAGATCTCGTCGGCCATGTAAATGCAAAGGAAAACCTACCCCAAAGGAAAGGAGTTTCGGCATTGCCGAATATTGAATAAGCTGCACAAGTTTAAAGAAAGAAGGAAGCGCCACTGCCATGTTAATTAACATAGCCTTAACAGTATGTTCAGCAGTTAACATTCTCAGCTGTGCAGCGCATTCCACACATAAGAAACACACACGCACACATCTACACTGAACACATACAACGATTCAGAATAGAATCAAAAACTTAGTTCTAGGTACCATTAAGTGCGATTTCAAATGCATTGATTCCACAATATGGAAAAGTCAGGAGTACTATTTATAAAATATAATTCAAACCATTATATTCACATAATGGAAAAGTCAGGAGTACTATTTATTAAATATAATGCAGACCATTGTTTCCACACAATGGAAAAGTCAGGAGTACTATTTATTAAATATAAAATTTAGACCAATTAGGGTCTTAAGCAAGCAAGCCCGTAGCGACTAGTGAAAATTCTAAAACCAACCAGTTTTGAGAATATTAAAACGAATTACACCAATTAGCATAAAAGACAGTGTTGCAAACTGCTGCTTTAAAAAAATAAAGTAGCGAAAAACATTGTTGAAAATGGCTAAACTTGTCATTCTCATGCCAAAAGCTAGCCAAAAATGTAATCCCCATTTTTGGCTGGAAAATGGCTGAATTGACATATTGGATAATACATTTTGCGATACTCAAAAATGGTTGGTTTGGTTTTGAATTTTCGTCAAATCTAGTTGTGAAATGTTAAGTAGAAGAAGGTGCATAAAAAAGCTGTCGAAATGTGTTTTTGTAAATGTTTAGCCTATAAGATGTTAATTCGTGGTTATCCATAGCAAGAACAATACATATAGTCCAAATAGACGATAGATAAATTTCTTATACATACATTATATATGCATGTATATATATGACATACATATACGTACACAGACATACTCGTAATGCATTTACAATTTGATCTATAGCTGTATGTACCGATTGTGATAGAACAATTTGTACAGCTCGTTAGCTGTGGCGCATAAGCCGAATCTAGTTGAAATGTTTCAAATATTAAGAAAATAAAAAAAAACTTTAAGATTGTACATCTATATGGCCATATAGAAAGGAATACTACATATACACTATAAATAATCAAGTACTGGATATATATATATATATATATATATATGTATAGTAAAAGGAATACAAATACAATAGAACTACCGACTTATATAGCATATATATATATATATATACAGAGTTCATCGGACGACAGCCAGTTGAACGAATTCGCTTTCAACAGCTGCCTTATAAGAACTATATGTATATGAATAATACCTACCTAACAAACTTACAAAACCCAAAAACAACGTAATCGACGACTTTCTCACACACATATACAATAAATAAATGTAATACGAATTTATTGTACATACAATAACCAAAAAACGATATCGATAGACAGAACTGTTTTACCCCATACTTAATAGAACTTTAAAGTATATATATATATGTACAGTATGTATATATATATATATATATTTATATATATACTATATATATAGTACGGAAATTCTGCTCATGCGCTGCATCTCATTGCTGCAATCGCCAGTTACGTATCCAATTATTGTAGGGTTTATGAAAATCGAAATTCGAACTCAAATTCAATGTCAAAATATCAAATTCAAATTTGCAATTGCTTAGATAAATTTGCGTGTAGTGTTCATTCCAAGTCAGATCTCACAAGAGTATTCTTTTTAGCGCACTTCATTACAATTATCAATAAATTCTATATGCATACATTTAAATAAATATGAACAATTCAATAATCAATTACATGCAACATACATACATACATACGAGTATTAATTATGTACATTTTTGCCTTTGAACAATTTTTAAACGAAACGATTTCATTATTACTTATATATACATACTTATATATTCAAACAGGAAACGTACAATAATAATAAAATTATGCAACTTTTTTGGCATCCAAAAAAGCGAAAAACACAAACAGCAATTTGTTTTATTTATATCAAGTCTTATTAACTCAGCACTAGATATATTCTTAAAAATGTATTACTCTCCGCATAATTCTTCGTAATATTGTCCATGGCTTAAGGACAATCTTGGAAAGAAATGCAGCAAATTTGATTAGACTAGGTTCAGATGGGAATAACTAAAAAATAGAGACTATAGGCAGGTAGCCGTATGTTAAAAACACTTTAAGACATAAGACTTACGACTTTTTATATATAAATAGGGAGAATTCTATAACCATTTCTACGTGAGTTTTGATCAAGAATGTTGTTGCCAGATTGATAACGACACCAAACCACGAAAAAAGACCCAAACCTCGTAAGAATCGGATGAGATTTGAGCGAGATATGAATGTGGGAAATCGTGACCTATGACTATGCGCAACTATATACGAATCTTGGGGTAATTAGACATGTTCTTCTATAAAAAAATCGGTGTTCAAATTTGAAAGCAACATTAATCTAGAGGTAAAATCATAAACAAAAATCCCAACCTCGTAAAAATCGGATGCGATTTGGCCGAGCTATGGAGGTGGGAAATTTTGACCCATGTCTATATACGAACCTTGGGGTAAGATTTGGACATGAATTTCGACTGAAAAATCGGTGTTCAGATTTGAATGCCAGATTAATCTAGAGGGAAAACAATGAATAAAAAGCCCAACCTCGTAAAAATCGGATGAGATTTGGCCGAGTTGTGGAGGTGGGAAGTTGTGACCAATGTCTATATCCGAATCTTGGAAATCGCGCGTACTACTTATATGCGAATCTTAGGGTAAGATTTGGACATGAATTTCGACTGAAAAATCGGTGATCAGATTTGAATGCCAGATTAATCTAGAGGGAAAACCATGAACAAAAAGCCCAACCTCGTAAAAATCGGATGAGATTTAGCCGAGTTATGAAGGTGGGAAGTTTTGACCAATGTCTATATACGTATCTTAGGGTAAGATTTGGACATGAATTTCGACTAAAAAATCGGTGTTCAAATTTGAATGCCGGATTAATCTAGAGGGAAAACCATGAACAAAAAGCCCAACCTCGTAAAAATCGGATGAGATTTGGCCGAGTTATGGAGGTGGGAAGTTTTGACCAATGTCTATATACGAAGATTTGGACATGAATTTCGACTAAAAAATCGATGTTCAAATTTGAATGCCAGATTAATCTAGAGGGAAAACCATGAACAAAAAGCCCAACCTCGCAAATATCGGATGAGATTTGGCCGAGTTATGGAGGTTGGAAGTTTTGACCAATGTCTAAATACGAATGTTGGACATCGCGCGTACTATATGCGAATCTGAGGGTAAGATTTGGACATGAATTTCGACTAAAAAATCGGTGTTCAAATTTGAACGCCACATTAATCTAGAGGGAAAACCATGAACAAAAAGCCCAACCTCGTAAAAATCGGATGAGATTTAGCCAAGTTATGAAGGTGGGAAGTTTTGACCAATGTCTATATACGTATCTTAGGGTAAGATTTGGGCATGAATTTCGACTAAAAAATCGGTGTTCAAATTTGAATGCCAGATTAATCTAGAGGGAAAACCATGAACAAAAAGCCCAACCTCGTAAAAATCGGATGAGATTTGGCCGAGTTATGGAGGTGGGAAGTTTTGACCAATGTCTAAATACGAATGTTGGACATCGCGCGTACTAAGTATATGCGAATCTGAGGGTAAGATTTGGGCATGAATTTCGACATAAAAATCGGTGTTCAAATTTGAATGCCAGATTAATCTAGAGGGAAAACCATGAACAAAAAGCCCAACCTCGTAAAAATCGGATGAGATTTGGCCGAGTTATGAAGGTGGGAAGTTTTGACCAATGTCTATATACGTATCTTAGGGTAAGATTTGGACATGAATTTCGACTAAAAAATCGGTGATCAGATTTGAATGCCAGATTAATCTAGAGGGAAAACCATGAATAAAAAGCCAAACCTCGTAAAAATCGGATGAGATTTAGCCAAGTTATGGAAGTGTGAAATTTTCACCCATGTCTATATACGAATCTTGGAAGTCGCGCGTACTACTTATATGCGAATCTTAGGGTAAGATTTGGACATGAATTTCGACTGAAAAATCGGTGATCAGATTTGAATGCCAGATTAGTCTAGAGGGAAAACCATGAACAAAAAGCCCAACCTCGTAAAAATCGGATGAGATTTAGCCAAGTTATGGAAGTGGGAAATTTTCACCCATGTCTATATACGAATCTTGGAAGTCGCGCGTACTACTTATATGCGAATCTTAGGGTAAGATTTGGACATGAATTTCGACTGAAAAATCGGTGATCAGATTTGAATGCCAGATTAGTCTAGAGGGAAAACCATGAACAAAAAGCCCAACCTCGTAAAAATCGGATGAATTTTGGCCGAGTTATGGAGGTGGGAAGTTTTGACCAATGTCTAAATACGAATGTTGGACATCGCGCGTACTACATGCGAATCTGAGGGTAAGATTTGGACATGAATTTCGACTAAAAAATCGGTGTTCAAATTTGAATGCCAGATTAATCTAGAGGGAAAACCATGAACAAAAAGCCCAACCTCGTAAAAATCGAATGAGATTTGGCCGAGTTATGAAGGTGGGAAGTTTTGACCAATGTCTATATACGTATCTTAGGGTAAGATTTGGACATGAATTTCGACTAAAAAATCGGTGTTCAAATTTGAATGCAAGATTAATCTTGAGGGAAAACCATGAACAAAAAGCCCAACCTCGTAAAAATCGGATGAGATTTGGCCAAGTTATGGAGGTGGGAAGTTTTGACCAATGTCTAAATACGAATGTTGGACATCGCGCGTACTATATGCGAATCTGAGGGTAAGATTTGGGCATGAATTTCGACTAAAAAATCGGTGTTCAAATTTGAATGCCAGATTAATCTAGAGGGAAAACCATGAACAAAAAGCCCAACCTCGTAAAAATCGGATGAGATTTGGCCGAGTTATGAAGGTGGGAAGTTTTGACCAATGTCTAAATACGAATGTTGGACATCGCGCGTACTACTTATATGCGAATCTTAGGGTAAGATTTGGACATGAATTTCGACTGAAAAATCGGTGATCAGATTTGAATGCTAGATTAATCTAGAGGGAAAACCATGAACAAAAAGCCCAACCTCGTAAAAATCGAATGAGATTTGGCCGAGTTATGAAGGTGGGAAGTTTTGACCAATGTCTATATACGTATCTTAGGGTAAGATTTGGACATGAATTTCGACTTAAAAATCGGTGTTTAAATTTGAATGCCAGATTAATCTAGAGGGAAAACCATGAACAAAAAGCCCAACCTCGTAAAAATCGGATGAGATTTAGCCAAGTTATGGAAGTGGGAAATTTTCACCCATGTCTATATACGAATCTTGGAAGTCGCGCGTACTACTTATATGCGAATCTTAGGGTAAGATTTAGACATGAATTTCGACTAAAAAATCGGTGTTCAAATTTGAATGCCAGATTAATCTAGAGGGAAAACCATGAACAAAAAGCCCAACCTCGTAAAAATCGGATGAATTTTGGCCGAGTTATGGAGGTGGGAAGTTTTGACCAATGTCTAAATACGAATGTTGGACATCGCGCGTACACTTATATGCGAATCTGAGGGTAAGATTTGGACATGAATTTCGACTGAAAAATCGGTGATCAGATTTGAATGCCCGATTAATCTAGAGGGAAAACCATGAACAAAAAGCCCAACCTCGTAAAAATCGGATGAGATTTGGACGAGTTATCGAGGTGGGAAGTTTTGACCAATGTCTATATCGAATCTTGAAGATCGCGCGTACTATAGCGAAACTTAGGGTAAGATTTGGACATGAATTTCGACTGAAAAATCGGTGATCAGATTTGAATGCCAGATTAATCTAGAGGGAAAACCATGAACAAAAAGCCCAACCTCGTAAAAATCGGATGATGGCCGAGTTGTGGAGGTGGGAAGTTTTGACCAATGTCTAAATACGAATGTTGGACATCGCGCGTACTACTTATATGCGAGTCTTAGGGTAAGATTTGGACATGAATTTCGACTAAAAAATCGGTGCTCAAATTTGAATGCCAGATTAATCTAGTGGGAAACCCATGAACAAAAAGCCCAACCTCGTAAAAATCGGATGAGATTTGGCCGAGTTATGGAGGTGGGAAGTTTTGACCAATGTCTATATACGTATCTTGTGGTAAGATTTGGACATGAATTTCGACTAAAAAATCGGTGTTCAAATTTGAATGCCAGATTAATCTAGAGGGAAAACCATGAACAAAAAGCCCAACCTCGTAAATATCGGATGAGATTTGGCCGAGTTATGGAGGTGGGAAATTTTGACCAATGTCTATATACGTATCTTAGGGTAAGATTTGGACATGAATTTCGACTGAAAAATCGGTGTTCAAATTTGAACGCC